ACAAAATGATAAGTGTGCTATGATTCCATTTATATAAGGTACCTAAAATAGTTGAATTCATAGAGACAGAAAGTAGAATAGTGGTTACCAGGGCAGAGGAAGTAGGGTTTGGAGAGTTATTGTTTAACTGGTACAGAACTTCAGTTTGGGGTGACGAAAAGTTCTTGAGGGGATACTGGTGATGGTTGCACAATAATGTGAATGTATTAATGCCACTGAACTGTACACTTAAAAACGGTTAAAATCGTATATTTTATGTTATGTATATTTTGCCACAACAACAACAACAAAACTGCCCCACATTTTATGACTCCTATGCCAGGATTGCTCCCACCCCAGCCGACAGTCTCTGGGAGGTAAGAACTATCCCCTATCACAATGGCCAGTGCATAGTAGGTGCCCAGTGTCCTCATGAAATGGAAACAGAGCCTTTGGTTGACCATGAGAAAGGACAGTATAATCCATCATAGGGATGGTAAGGGGCTTTTCTTAAGGGAAAAAAGTCTAAAATTTTCGTGAAATTTTTGCTGCTAGAAAAATCAAATGGTCGGGATTTGTGTTTTTTTAGATCCTTCTATTTTCTTCTCTAGTGCTTGGTGGTGTCCTTGAAAAAAAAAAAAAAAAAGAGGAAGATGCTGACTGACCTTTCTCTGGATCAGCGGTCTCTAGTAGGATTCACCCACCCTAGGGCAAGCGCCAGTTAACAGCTGGTGTGCGAGAAGAAAACCCTAGGAATGTGGTCATACTTATCTTTCAAAATTAGAACTCGAGCTTTGCTAATGGTAAAAAAAAATAGACTGATACTGAGGCTTCTTCAGAGGGTCATGTGTCAGGTACAAGTGTGAGGTAGCCTGAAGGGAATTTTCACTCTTTTTTTTTTTTCACTTTCTCTTTATTCTAACATATTGCAGCTTATGCATGACCAGCTAAAGGGACATATGGGTTCTATTACATAATTCCAATTACTAACCTCACTAACTAGACAAGAGGATAAAAAGGACTCCTGCAAAGAAACCTCATATTGAAGATAACACTAATGATGCAAGCACAAGGGAATAAGAACACGACAGAGTTGATGCTTCTCCTACTCATGGTCCAAGCTTTTTGTCAGCCATGTTAGGAGGTAAAAACAATGATGAATTAATCAGATCTGTCAAGAAGTCAGCTTCAAAATTCTGAAATGATCAACACTATCCGAAATATGAATTTATAGCCACTATCAAAAATGCTGAAATGTATATTATGCCTTTGTGTTACGAGAGTATGAAGCCATCACAGTTAGTGAGACAGTTTAAAACATTGTCATTTTATCTTTATCATATATTTTTCTTTTCTAGTTCATGTATGGCTTATTTTTTTTTTAATGAATAATATATGAGTATGGGCAGGGCAATGAAAAAACCTGGAAACTACTTGACTTGATTACCCAGGTGCTACATACAATTTATAAGCCCAGTGCTTTGTTTCTTATAGTGGCACCATGGGACATAGCAGAGGGTTAATAAATAATCACAAAATTAATGACTATCCTTTTAGATGATAACCACAATATATTAGGACAAAGTTAGGAACCTAGAAATCAAACAAATAAGTTAGAGGAATGAGGTTAATTATAACAAGAGCTTCAGCTGCGATCAGGCTGGGCAGATGTCTGTACAGAAGAAAACAACCATCATCTTTCAATATCAAGGATCCCAATCAGGTTTCCTCCACAGTCTACACAAAGATTAACTGGTAACCTAAATGGATAAAACTTAAAAGACTGATAATACTAAGTGGAGACAATAATGTCGAACAACCGGAATGCCCAGACACTACTGGCGGGGATATCCATTGAATAACTGCTTTGGGAAAATGACCATATTTACTAAAGCTGAAGAGATGCATACCTATGACCCAGAAATTCCTCTCACAGACATATACACAGCAGAAATATTCAAAACAACACCATCCACAGAGTTCAAAATTGGAAACACCCATAAAACCATCAACAGTAGAATGAATAAATAAATAGTTATAATTAACACAATGAGAATGAAGGAACTATTGTTACACGCTGGTAAGAATCTTACAAGTATAACATTGAGCCAAAAAAGCCAGACCAAAGAGTACTTATGGTAAGCAGTGCCATGCCAACCCATATAGGAGTAGTTAAAAGGAAAAATCAGTAAAACTGATTTTGATGCTTAATTTTACATGTCAACTTGGCTAGCTCATGGTATTCAAATGTTTAGTCAAACATTATTCTAGATGTTTCTGTGAAGGCATTTTTTAGATGAGATTAACATTTAAATCAGCGGACTTTCAGTAAAGACACCAGCACATAAGAATGGGTCCATAAATGATAGCTATTTGTGAGAATTTTATGGATCACATCTAAAAAGTGATTTGTGAATGAAATACATTCTGTAGCTAGGAAAATATGTATACTAATATCATGCTTTTCCTTTTACCTGAAGTTTTGCAGACGCAGCATATGTCACTCACACAGTTTGTAGATTTTAGCCTCCCGTGATATATCTTATGCTGATAGAGCTAGGTCATTCTTTGTGCAATGTCCAAGACAAAAGAAAACCTGAGACACACAAAAGGACTCTATGTGAGCTGAGAGCAGAATTGGGGTCTCAAATGTTCTCAGAGAGTCCACACTTTAGTCAATGCCAGAACAAAAACGAGTCTATGCAAAGCAAACAAAGTGCCTCGTGTGTCTTTTTAAGAGGAATTTATATGGTATAAATGATTGACTTCTCAATGGTGCACCAAAAACAGTTATAGAGGAATGAAGAAGAAAAAGGAGAAGGAGAAGAAGATTGAGAAAAATAAAGAGAAGGGGAAGTAAGAGAAAGGAAGCATAGTATCATGAATATGTATTCTGGGAAACTCCTTGAATCCAGCCTCCTTAGGATGTCATTGGGCTTTACCTCATCTGCCTCCTGAACCTGAAAGGGTTTCTGTGATGGTTAATTTTATGTGTCAACTTGGCTAGGCCACGATACCCAACTATTTGATCAAACATCTCTAAATATTGCTGTGAAGATATTTTTTTCGATGAGATTGAAAATTTCGATTCGAAATTTTAAATCAATAGAGTTTGAGTAAAGCAGATTACCCTCCATAATGTGGCTGGGCCTCAACAAATCAGTTGAAGGCCTTAACAGAAAAAGATTGACCTCCCTGAAAGAAAAGGGAATTCTGCCAGTAGACCACCTTTGGATTTGAACTGCAGTTCTTCCTTGTCTTCAGCCTGTCAGCATGCCATGCAGATTTTGGACTTGCCACACCTTCATAAACACGTGAGCTAATTCCCTAAAATAACTCTCGCTCTCGCTCTTGCTCTTGCTCTCGCTGTTTCTGACACAAACACAACTTGCTGCTTCTCATGCTCTGGACAACCAGATTAATACACTGATCCTGTCTTTATTTAAATTTAAATTTTAAATTTTAATAAAAAATTGGATTTTTTAAATTAATTTTGAGTTTTTTAAGTATTGCATTAAAATATTATTTATCTTGGGCCGGCCGAGTGGCGCGATGGTTAAGAACTAGCTTGGGACGCCAGAGGACCCCGGTTCGGATCCCACATATGAGGGCCAGTGACACTGCCCTCCACAGCTAGGATGCTGAACATGGCTCGGCCTGGAGCTGGGCTGCCGTGAGTCTCCGGCGACGGCGTAGGCTGCAGCCCCTGTGGCAG